CTCAGGAATAGCATAATCCCAATGTTCCTCTGTAGCTAAAGCTATAGATCCTATATAATCAGCAACCTTTTGGATATACCCTCTAGAACAACTCCTAGAATGATTCTCTGCAAAATCTTCACTTACCTCTTTAGCACTTAAAGATGCATATTTATACGAAATCATTTTTGCAAATTTTGGTGTAGAATGAATAATTATATGCCCTTTCTCATCAAGTGGACAAAATGTCTTACCTCCTTTTGAGCTCTGATATACATGTCGCATTATCTCAACAGTGCCATAGGGCGTCTCATACTCTTTTTTTACTTTGCCCTTTGAAGACATTCTGACGCTACCAATATTAATTATTGAACCAGTGGCATCAAATTTACTTAGAGCCTCTTTAGTCGCAATGCACCCAACCTCATTAACTCCTTTCTGTATCGCGTCTTCCATTTCAAGCATAGAACCATGCAATTTTAATGTAATTTGTATTGTGAGTTCTTCTCCGTTTCGTGATATTATTCCTACCATAGCTTAAGTCAAATTATTTACTAAAATCTCACCTTAGCATAATTTAAAACATTATTCAATAGCTGTACCCATTGAATCAATATGGATTAATAGTTTAGCCTTTTGGATCAAGATATTGCGCTTGGTTGACAGATGTTAATAAATTAACTATGATTAACTAAAATATTAACTAATTAGGGTTTTTACTTTTTGAATTTTATCATAATAATAGAAAACAATAGGAGGAACTAATGTCACCAACGTTAACATCTATTAATTCAATCCCTATAGATCAAGCTTTTCCAGGAAACTTTGCGCCCGGTACTGGTATTAATGTCTCGCCTTCTACTATCCATGGAATAACAAGTAGTTATCAAATAGATCCTTTTCCAAACTCAGAAAAAAACCGTAATCATTATGATAGCCGTAATGGAGCAAAGATAAAATATTTAATCATGCATTATACTGTTGATGACTTTGCTTTATCGGTAGATAAATTTACTGCTAATGTGGATCACGGGCGTACTAGCGCTCATTTTATTATCACTGAAAAAGCTGAAAAGAAAGTTGAAGGCGGTAAATTATTGCAGGTGGTACCCGAAGATATGAGAGCTTGGCATGCAGGAGTAAGTGGCTGGCAACAAGATAAAAACCTTAATGCAGTATCCTTAAGTATTGAGCATGTGAATAGAGGATTTACTGAAGGAGAAGAGGAAGAAGAAATAGCTAGCAATAGAAAATATTATCCTTTTGATAAAGAACAAATTTGTACTTCTGGAGTGATAAGTAAGGATATAATAGCTCAATATAATATACTACTCAACATGTATTAGGACATGAGGATATTACGCCAGGGCGTAAATTTGATCCAGGCCCTTTATTTCCTTGGGCTCAGTTTTACCACAATTATGGCGTAGGTGCCTGGTTAGATGATAATGAAATGAATAAGGATGTGATTATCCAAAAGTATCGCCCTACAAGACCTTACCCTGCAAATGTGGATCACGATATTTTATTACAGATGCTAGTAGCATATGGATATTGTCTTACAGGCACTACTGCTTCAGGAGTTATAAAAGCTTTTAAATCCCACTTCTCAGCCAATCAATGTCCTGAATTATATGATGATACTGTTAGACAAGAAGAAATGTTTTGGGCTTGGGCTCTAGAAGCAAAATACTGCGCGGCTACAGGTTGAAAATCAACTGTAGGCTAACGTGTATTTCTTTCAAAGAAGCTAGCTTATTTTTACATTTTAGTATATTTTAAAAAAACTTTTTAGGCTCTGCTTACCTAATATAAAAAAAACTATTTTTGGTTTTTACAATTTAATAGGTAAGGAGAGCCTTATTCGTTAAAAAGATAGGGTAAGATTCTCATAAAATTATTATTAGTAACTTAAAGAGATATATAATGGACAATTATGATGTAGCAGTTATTGGAGGTGGGCCAGGGGGCTATGTAGCTGCAATTAGAGCAGCGCAATTAAATAAGAAAGTAGTATTAATTGAAAGAGAACATTTAGGGGGTATTTGTTTAAACTGGGGGTGTATACCCACTAAAGCTTTACTAAAATCAGTAGAATTATTTCAAAAAATAAAACACGCCCACGATTATGGGATAGAAGTTAGAGAGCCAAAATTTGATTTAAAAAAAATAGTAAAACGTTCTAGGGAGATCTCTTTGCAATTAACTACTGGTATTAAGTTTTTATTGAAGAAAAATAAAGTTACTGTAATTGAAGGTTCTGCTACTTTAGAACCAAATAAAATATTAAATATTGATAATAATGGGCAAAAAAGCTCTATTAAAGCAACTAATATAATAATTGCCACCGGCGCAAGGGCTCGAACCTTAGAAGGTTTTAAACCCGACGGCCGGCAAGTTATTACTTCTAAAGAAGCCTTGGTACTGGATAAATTACCTAAATCATTGATTATAGTTGGCTCGGGAGCTATAGGAGTAGAATTTGCCTCATTTTATAATGGCCTTGGATGCCAGGTTACTTTGATTGAAGCGCAAAATAGAATTCTACAAGCTGAAGATACAGAAATCTCTTTATTAGCACGAAAAATTTTTGAAAAGAAGGGCATCAAAATTCATACTAGTACAAAATTATTAAGTTGTATCAAAAATACAGGCCATATCACCCTAGAAGTAGAAATAAATGGAACTATCCAAAAATTAGATGCAGAAATTTTGCTTATGGCAGTTGGGATAGTAGGCAATACCGAAAATCTTAATTTAGAGCGAACCAAAATTAAAATAGAGAAAGGGCATATTATCACTAACCAGTTTATGCAAACTGATGAAGCAGGAATTTACGCAATAGGAGACGTTACTAAAGCCCCATGGCTTGCCCATAAAGCTAGCCATGAAGGGATTATTGCCGCTGAAACTATTGCTGGTATTAAAACTCCCCCTATTAACTATACCAACATAGCTGGCTGCACTTATTCTTTTCCCCAGATAGCTAGTGTTGGTCTTACTGAAGAAGCAGCTAAAAAAGCAGGTTATCAGATACAGGTTGGTAAGTTTCCAGCTAGTGCTAATGGTAAAGCATTAGTGGACGGTTATAATGAAGGGATCATTAAAACGATTTTTGATAAAAAAACAGGAGAATTACTCGGAGCGCATTTAATCGGAGAAGAGGTGACCGAGCTAATTCAAGGCTATGTAATTGCCAAAACTATGGAAGCGGTAGAAGTTGATTTAATGAATACCATCTTTCCTCATCCAACTTTATCCGAAATGATGGGAGAGGCAGTCATGCAAGCATATGGAAGGGCCATTCATGTATAAGTAATTCGTTGAATTAGAAACTAAATGCCCGTAGGAAGGCAGCGCCTTTCTTACTAAGCCAAGAGCCTTCTTGGTTGCTAAGCGATATAAATATGCTACTTTTAGAAGATATGAGTAAAAATGAGGTTTTTTATAGTAGCAACTATAGCTTTAATCTCACAGTTGAAGTAGATAGAGATAATATTACCACAGCACTAAACAACCCTCAGCTACAAGCTGAGGGGTTATAAAGTGGAATCGATTAGAAATCGATCATCGTTCATTGGTTCACCTTCTTGCTCATCAATATACTGCTGTATCATGTCATCAGTTA